CATTACCGGTTACCTTGCCATGACACTGTTCTTCCGAACAGTGGGATGTCTCTGCCCCGATTTCGACGTCGCGATTCGTCTGGCTGCTACGATTATAACATTGTTCGTACTCACCTCTGGTTATCTCATTCAGTGGCAGTCCGAACAAGTCTGGCTCCGATGGATCTTCTACATCAATGCCCTGGGACTGGGCTTCTCCGCGCTGATGATGAACGAGTTCAGTCGTCTGGACTTGACCTGTGCCGGCAGCTCTTTGATTCCTGCTGGGCCTGGATATGATGACCTCAACGCCCAGGTCTGTACTCTACCTGGCAGTGAGGCCGGTAACCCCATCGTTTCTGGCACCAACTACATCAAGACCAACTTCCAATGGGATCCTTCAGACCTCTGGATGCACTACGGTATCATGGTTGCTCTCATTGTCGGATTCCTTCTCGCCAACGCCTTCCTCGGAGAATTCGTCAAGTGGGGTGCTGGTGGCCGTACAGTCACCTTCTTCGTGAAAGAGAACAAGGAACTCAAGGAGCTAAACGCCAAGTTGCAAGAGAAGCGTGATAAGCGTAACCGCAAGGAAGACAGCAGCGACCAGAACTCTGATCTTAACATTGCTTCTAAAGCTGTCCTCACATGGGAAGACCTTTGCTACGACGTACCTGTCCCCAGCGGAGAGCTCCGCCTGCTCAACAACATCTACGGATACGTCAAGCCCGGACAGCTGACAGCGCTCATGGGTGCGTCAGGTGCTGGAAAGACCACACTTCTCGATGTGCTGGCCAACCGCAAGAACATTGGTGTTATTAGTGGTGACAAGCTAGTCGATGGCAAGGTTCCTGGTATCGCTTTCCAGCGTGGAACTGCCTACGCCGAACAACTCGATGTCCACGAACCTGCTACAACCGTCCGTGAGGCACTCCGCTTCTCCGCCGATCTGCGACAGCCGTATGAGACACCCCAAGCCGAGAAGTATGCCTACGTTGAGGAGGTCATCGCCTTGTTGGAAATGGAAGACATCGCAGACGCCATCATTGGAGACCCCGAGAGTGGTCTAGCCGTCGAACAACGCAAGCGTGTTACCATAGGTGTCGAACTCGCTGCCAAGCCTGAGCTCCTCCTGTTCTTGGACGAGCCTACTTCTGGTCTCGATTCTCAGAGTGCTTTCAACATCGTTCGTTTCCTTCGCAAACTTGCTGCCGCTGGCCAAGCCATCCTGTGCACTATCCATCAGCCCAACTCTGCTCTTTTCGAAAACTTCGACCGATTGCTCCTTCTCCAAAGGGGTGGCCAATGTGTTTACTTCGGTGACATCGGCAAAGACGCCCATGTTCTCCTTGACTACTTCCATCGCCACGGTGCTGACTGCCCTTCGGATGCCAACCCTGCCGAGTGGATGCTCGATGCCGTCGGTGCTGGTTCCGCTCCTCGCATTGGTGACCGCGATTGGGCTGATGTATGGAGAGATTCGGAGGAATTCGCTGAAGTCAAGCGCCACATTGGTCAGGTCAAGGAAGAGCGCATGGCTGCTGTTGGTTCTGCCGAGCCAGTCGAGCAAAAGGAGTTCGCTACACCGATGTCTTACCAGATTAAGCAAGTTGTCAGACGCCAAAACTTGTCTTTCTGGCGCACTCCCAACTACGGCTTCACTCGCCTCTTCAACCACGTCATCATCGCTTTGCTCACAGGTCTCATGTACCTTCAGCTGGACGACTCCCGAGCATCTCTGCAATACCGCGTGTTCATTATCTTCCAAGTCACGGTTCTGCCAGCCCTCATTCTCGCTCAAGTTGAACCCAAGTACGCTGTCCAGCGTATGATCTCTTTCCGTGAGCAGATGTCCAAGGCATACAAGACATTCCCATTCGCGTTGTCTATGGTTCTTGCAGAGATGCCCTACAGTGTGCTTTGCGCCGTTTTCTTCTTCCTTCCTCTTTACTATATCCCGGGCTTGAACTCCGATAGCTCGCGCGCCGGATATCAGTTCCTGATTGTACTCATCACTGAGGTCTTCTCCGTCACCTTGGCTCAGGCGATTGCTGCGTTGACACCAACCCCCTTCATCGCGTCCTATGTCAACCCTTTCATCATCGTAAGTCAACACCAATGCCCTCTTGAAGCATGAGCTAATTTTGTTTTCAGATCATCTTCGCTCTCTTCTGCGGTGTCACCATCCCCAAGCCCTCAATCCCCAAATTTTGGCGTGTATGGCTCTATGAGCTGAACCCTTTCACACGCCTCATCGGCGGCATGATTGTTACAGAACTTCATGACCTCAAAGTCGAATGTACATCTGGCGAGTACAACCAGTTCAACGCCCCACAAGGTCAGGAATGTGGAACGTACATGAGCAACTTCTTCTCCAGTGGCGCGCCCGGATACCTCCTCGATAACGCCACCGATGTCTGCAATTACTGCGCCTACAAGGTCGGGGACGAGTTCTATCGACCTCTTGGATACGAGTTCAGCAACAGATGGAGAGACTTGGGTATCTTCGCTGCGTTCATTGCCAGCAACTTGGTAATTCTTTTCGTCGCCGCGAAGTACCTCAACTTCAACCGCAGATAAGCGGCCAGCTGGTGGATCGACAAATGTCACCACTCAGTGAGTACCACGATACGGGTACACCGCGACCCATCTTTCAGTCTGTGCTATACGATCCGCACTTTTGTGTGGAGGGCCCGTTCTGCGTGGGAACTGTCGTACATAATCCCGCCGCAGCTACGGCTGCATAGACGTCATTCCGCATTTCAATGTACTGTGCGTTTCCTGCGACATCGCATCGTCTCGTTTAAAAGTACTCTCTAGACTTGCAGTTTGGATATCCCATTGGGCGGCGTTCGTTTCACTGACAGCACTGAGCTCGCATAGCCTCTTCACATATATATAATCCTAGTCTCATTAAATCATCACTGTACAATTATCGTTCAAAACATCAATGCTGCGTGAAGTCATGGTGCTGTGGTGCCACATCATGAATCGATCGTCTTTGTTGAATCTTTTGTGCGCGCCTGTCTCATATTATAGCTTCACGACTGCTCCTTCCAGTAGTCTCTTTGAAAAATTGTCTCGCATTGTTCCGCGGTCGCCGCTTCTCTTCTAAACTCTTTCATGCCCTTCGCTAGTTACCTTTGTCTTTTTACAGTCTTGCAGCTTGCTGTGTAACTATATCGACATTCCTTTTTCTTGGTGCAGCATCGCACTATCTTGTTATGGCACCAGCGGCGCAATACCGCGAGACATCGCGCACTATCACTACCACTGCGAAAGATGCTGAACAGCCCACCACTAATGCAAAAGACACGCAGGACGACTACAATAGCGCCTCGACGTTCAACTGGCCGTCTGCGACACCTAGTTTAAAGGCCGGGCTTCGCTTTCCGATCCCGCAGATTCAGGGAATCATACCTGGTATGCGTCGCACACTGCAGGCTGATTTCGCTGCACGGTCACTCCCACATTCATCCAGACCTTCGTATGACGTAGCGCGACTGGAATCGTCAAAGGGCTCAACAACAACACCGACAAAGCCGACTGCAGATACACGGCCATCACCGCACCGCTCATCATACCCCCGCGCCTCACCTCCTGGTATCCTCTACCCAGACGCTATCGTACCGCATAGCGCGACACAGTACTCCAACCCGCTACAAGACCCAAACGCTATCACACACAAAGAACTTCCCTATCACCCGAGCATAATGGGCCGTGTAGACTACGAACTGGCGTACCTGGCTCCGGGGTACAAGATACTGTTCGTCGGTACAATAGCAATTCTCACACTGGGTGTCATGTGGACGGTGATTACTTGCGCCATCAGTATGAGGACAAGGTCGAAAGCAGGGAGCGCAGAATGGAAAGGGAAGAAAAATGTCGGAAACAGGAAGGAGGAGAGGAGGCCGATTGACAAAGTGAGCAAGTACGCACATCGACATGGAAGCCAAAGTGGCATCTCGATAGACAGAGGGCTGGATTCCGCCATGGACAGTGACAGCGCTATCACATCAGCGGCCCAGATTCCGTTCTCTTACCTAGGAGACAACGGGCAGGTCGTTGAGAGTATCGAGATGAAGTACAGACCAAAGCACACAACGTCCAGTTACAACCGCCCAAGAAGTCGAGCAATACGGTCCGAATTCCAAGATCGCACATACACAACACACGGCCGTTTTTCGTCTTCGCCTTCAGCAGGCCCACGATTCGGTCTTACAATCACACCAACACTCTCGGTTCCTCCTTCACCAACTCCATCTACATCCGGCAGCACTTCGCCGATAAACCCTTTTCTCGATCCTCCTCCCAACGGTCTCCTTAGTCCCGACGTAAGCGCCACACTGGTGAAGCGGAGTTCGCTGGAATGGCAAGCCGAACGAGCCGCCTTCTTCGCTCCCACAACGCCGACATCTGTTCCAGCGTCTGGATCAGTGTCTCCTGCGCTAAGCTATACCGCAGAGAACGGTAACGAGACCTTTGAACTCAATCTCTCCGATATGGAGGCTTTGGAAGCTGGTACAGCACATTCTGGGTCTTCGACTCCTGGCAACAGAGGCAGCAGATTGGTCCGGAGGAGCAAGAGTTTTATTGACGAGGGTATCGGGATGATGGAAGGTGTTGTTGATGGCGTTGCTGCGACGATAGCGAGGTGGACGGATGATGACGGTGGGGATGACGCGTTGTTGTTGCCCGTTGCGCGAGGGAAGTGAACGAGTGCGCTGCAGTCTGGTTGTTATATGAATGAAAGAAAACAAAATCCGAAGGCGATGTAGACTTCTCGATTCTTCTTGACTATGCAGTTTGTACTTGCTTGATTAGTAGGTTGGGGTGAACATGCACTGGTTAATTGAAATGCACGATGTCGGTACTCGAGCAGCTGAACGGTGAGTCATGTAAAGGACGAATTTGAATTACAGCCGTGCGAGCGCGGTGTCTCGGAGCAAATGGTATCATCCAAGCAGGCCCCTCTCCTGGAACGCCAATAGTAATGCCTCGTATGCCCTCTCATAAATAGCTCAAATGTCAAAGTCCTTCCTAAGGATCTCTTGCACTTCGAGATCCATCTTCTTCTCAATCAAGTGGGCGGCCACGAGATTGCCGACCTTGCTGACGAGTTGCTCTCGGACGTCGTCAAGGTCTGGTGCTGTGTATGTTCCCTCATGTTGTTCCCTCTGTTTCCGCTCTCTCATGCTTTTGGGTACCAGGGCGGGGAAGGAGCCCACGAGTACTGCAAGCAGTATCTCAGTGTCGTGCCTCGTGCTCTCGTCGGCGAGCTTTTTAGAGAGGAAGTCATCGTTGTACATCTTAATGTTCGGTAGGATGAGTCCTCTCAGTGCGTCACCGGCGCCTAGGACGAGGAGCAACGCTTGTAGAGCGCCAAAGTGTGTTCCGACTGATTTGTCGGGATCCATAAACTGCTTCAGGCAGGTGCGTGCGATTCGTGCCTTGAGGCCTTGATTCGACGACGCGTGCTTCCGGCAAATGTCTTTGAGGAGGTGGGCTGCAAGCGTTCGCAGGTAGAATGCATCTTGGGTAGCACGGTTGTGGTCGGGTATGGTTCCGTTCAGCGTCTCTGAAGAGGCGTTGGATGGCGCAGGGTTTGCTGGTCCTACCTTGCCGCCTGTGCAGCACGTCAGGATGGGCGGTACCATGTATGCCACGTAGGGATCGAGGTAGATGGCCTGGTTCTTCAACAGCGCCTCTGCGGCACGCATCATCTGTGTCAAGATGAACAGGTTCTTCATATTGTGTGTAACCTTCTCGGCTATGAAGCTAAGGAGGTAGGTCGTCAGCTGGTGAATGCCCGGCTCCGTCGAGATCGCAGCAAGTGCCGCGTTCTGCCATTCGATGTTCGTCTCGTCGATGAGGGCGCCCGACAGCTTGTTGAAAAGCTCTTGCGATTCTTTGGATAGCACATGTTTGACGAGCGGTTTGACGTTGACGTTGTCCAGGCCGTTAGCCGCGGCCAAGTGAGGATTCGCGTTGGGTCCCTTGGGCAAGAGATCGCCGGTGTTGGTGTTGGGGTTCTGAGGTATCGAAGGCTGGACCCCTTCGACAGCGAGCCAGTGTGCCGTGAAGGTGATTTCCCGTGGCACCTTGGGCAGTGGGGCGTTGATGAGCTTCTCGAAATCGACCTCTTCGTCTTCGACATAGTACAAGGGCTGGCCGGGCCCCAGCGAAGCCTCACCGAAGCGCAGCGGTCGGGTAGACTCGTAGCCGTAGAGGGGCTCCACATTCAACACCTTGAGGGCATTGGATATATCCTGTGTGCTCAGCGTAGTCCGCTTCCCGTGTCGCATGAACTTGAGGGCCTCCTCTAGCACCTGTGCCAAGCGGAAGTCGACGTCGCGTGCCAGCTCTTCGACCACATTGTCGGCAAGTGAGGCGATGCCCACCGATTCGGCCACGTCGCGTACATTGTCGGGGTTCCAGACCGAAGACATGTTGGCGGGGCGCAGTGCGATGTGTGAGGGCTGGGGTGGAACTGGTGGGGCTGTCGGGTGCGGGCGCGCTGCGTCTAATGAAGCGGAAGGAGTGAAGAGAGCCGATGGGCGGACGGAGAGGGTATCACCAGCCGGGTGACGCAGGGACGGACGATGTGATTGCTAGCCCTACGACCCAGTGAAGCACATGTCGGACGGGCGCATGCGACGGTAGTGGACAGCGCCGTGGAGCAGCCGAGACGGTCGCTTCTAGATTGGGAGCGCGTCTCGAATAGGCGATTCTAGGCGACTGGCGGGAGTGCGAGGCTGGGGGGGATTGGCGTAGAGTGAGTCTGCCTGAAAGGAAGTCGCGATGCTCCAGGGCTCGCGTTGGCCTTGGCGCGCTGTCACGTCCGAGCGCGCCGGCCTTGTTGTCTGTGACTCGTCTCACCCTCACCACTTACCTGTCCGAACTTCGCAGGCTTTCACACCGATTGACATCCTCGCCAAAGCTGCATCTATCCATTTCAACAACTCTATATCATGACTGAAAAGTGAGGCTCGGTTGACTGGTCAGCCGTTTGCTTCACTTGAGTATAGACAAACATCGTCTCCTCATCACCTACTGATCGTCCCAAGTCCTAGCACGGGAATGCGTGCAGCTCGGCAAGCCAATCAAGGACTTTAGCAGCTGGGTGCGAGGCGTCTAGTCATGCCCACGAACGAATAGAAGTATTCGTGTATCCATCTTGACATCATGGCTTCGTAGACCGCCATTTCAGAATCCTACATTTGGAGGCAAAGCAATCTTCCCAGACACCTTGCACAAGGGGATGTGCGGCTGCGGAGCATCTTCCCCGCCGCCTACTTAGTTGCAAGCAGTACTCAACCCTGGTAGTCACACAATCGGTCGACTGTCGCTCGCCGTGCTCTCACCCGTCGACACGTTGTTTACCGCCGTTGAAGATGGCATCTTCTACACCCCAGATCAAGCTTTCTTCCGCCCGGGGAAGACTCTTATTCGCCGCTTGTACACCCGGTCTGCCAAACCAGCATCCCATTCCAGCATAACACTTTAGACTTAGTCCTTCCTGACGCCACCCGTCTATCCGCGCGGACGGGCCGCTGCGATTCTGATTGCCTTTGCCTGGCTTTTTGGGTCTGCCAACTAGACATACGCCCCTGTACGCCACTAGGTGACCTCTTATGGTGTTCATTGGGAGTGTAGGAAAACCTTGCCTCAGACTATTTAATATCGAGACTACGTTAGTGTTTTGTCCTCCAGAACAGTCTTCCACTCTTTCGCACATACAGCTCTTTGACTATCAACTTCCAATCCCGCGTCTGACCCATCAATATTACTGCTCTACGATCGATTTGTAACTACCACACGAACAGCATGGGCATCACTACGAGATCTTCAGTGGACAACGCCTCTGATCTGGTCAACGCACGCTCGGTTCATGCTCGATTGAGCTTATCAATGTCTACGCCGCCGCAGGACCGCTCAAGAGATGACCCACCGTCACCTCCACCCCAGCCCCCGCCCAGCCCAGCACACTGGAACCGTATTGTCCCGGTAAGTTCTACTGTGTATCGCATCGTATGATGTAGCTAACCCCACGCCAAGCTTGACCTTCTTTCACCACTAGAGATCTGAAATATGAGGAGACGAGTTGTCTCGGTGAGTACGAAACGCTCCCACAGACCTTTACCAAGTCTGACTTTACTGAGTAGAAGTAAAATTGCTTTTCTTCCTAAAGCAGCCACCAGGTTACATTCGACCGCGGCATCGGCATGTTATTGTTTGATCCTCCCTTAGTGGTCTGGCCTTGCATGCCCTTGTATCCTGCCAAGTATCGCTCTTCCCATGCGACGAGCGCTGGACTTTCTTTCGAATGTATGTTAATAGGTCAAACAGTGGTCATGGTGGCGTTTGTATGTTCTTGTCAGTCGCTAAGCGCGAAGCTCTCAGAGCTGAGTTGCCGTCGTCGTCACACTCCGTGCGAGACGTTTCCTTTTAAATTGAAAAGCTTCACTTCCTCGATGCCATCGTTGTTGTTCCCCGATCAATTGTGCTGTACAACTTGCCAGAATGTTAAAAGAACCTTCAACTCCGCCTAACGACCAGTAGGTATTGCAAGCATTTACCATAAGCACTGAGAACTTGATCTAGCTCTACTGAATCTAGATCTGTACCATCTCAGATCCCGATAGCGATGCCCCATAATTGCTGATGGTGGTACCTTCCAGCTCGCTTGACCCGCTAGCGCGCACTAGTCGCGTCAGGGTTTTCGGCTTTTCCAGATTCGCAGAATCCAGGCCTGCGGCTCCACTCGACTTCAGCTGACAGTACGTATACGTATATCACATCCACGTACGTCAACAGTCAAAAATTAACTCAAAATACGGCTCCCTTCACCTGGCTAGGCAGGAATCCAGCCGAGGCACAAGACGTACTGGGCACTAAGCTTGACTGCAAAGCTCCTGTAAGACTTGGCGCAGGATCGACAGTCCCACTATCCGCCACCAGCGGCTACCCACCTAACAACACCTGCCACTAAACGGCTGAGGGGACAAACACTCTCTCACCACCCTGCTGCTGACCACAGCTTCTGACCGCCGCCTCTCCTTCCTTCTCGTGCAGACCACCCAGCATGGCTGCCGACAAGCAAGGTACCGAGGAGCAGATCCTCCAATGGTACTCCAACCTCTACAGCCGCCGGGTCGACCTGGTAGGCGACTTTGCAGGCAGTGAGCGCTTTCTCGTACACGGCGAATCACTTTTGCTTCAGTGCTTCGGCGACCCACACATCGATTTCGACCCTGGATATCAATTGCTGCACGCATCGTACGCCGTCGAGAAATTCCTACAGGGTCTCGTCTCTCGAGGCTGCAACTTCCACATTGCCTTCTTCGACGAACATCAAGATCTTTGCGTACCCCAGGATGCGTCGCCAGCCATAAGCGAGAAGTACCTGCTTGCACGAGCAGCTATCATCCGCCATCTCAAGGTCAACCTGCCAGATGCTGTCCCAGAGATTGAGATCAACACCTTCTCATCAGTATCATCCGATGGCTTCACGGAGTATCTGCGTGCTACAGACATTTACTTCGTCTTGTGTCATGACGGAGCTTCCTTCACTGACATCCGCAAGAAGTTGGTCCTACAGAAGGACCTTGATACCCCACAGGGTGAAAACAAGGATGTACAGGAGCGCCAACAAGAGTACAAGACATCTTTCCGCACATTCATATACAGTATGATGCAGCGAGGCTATAGTGCGGCGCTTGTGAACGGACTGGAGTGGGCCGATACCAAAGTCGTCACAACTGTTCTGGAGCACGCACGCTCTATGACGCTTGATGTCTCATCAGCAGTACGTTACTACTACAGCCTTTTCCCCTATAAATCTTGCATCTAGCTTTTTTTTCCCTGAACAGTTTCCCCTTTGATAGCTTCGTCTGCTAACAACTTTGTTCAGGAGCCCCATACAAACAAGAGATTGACCGATGTCGTTGATCTGTCGCACATGCGCGGCTTTCTGCAGACGATCAGGACTTCTTGCGATCAACTCCTAACTGAGCGCGAATACTTGACAGTACTGGTAGCTTCAAAGCTCGCAGCTTCGCATGCCGATCTGTCGGCTGTCTTATTGCAGCATGCAGCATTGCTCTCGGAGCTTCCACTATCTGATCGTATCATCAAGCAGCGCGATATTCCGGATGACGTCAAATCTTTCATTTTGGACTTCTGCCACGAGGCGCGCAAGTTTATTGGTAGTCCTGCATGGGCTGAAGCCTTCAAAGGCCATCCGGACTGCGATTTGGCGGATCTTATCGACGGAAGACTTCTCGCACAGTGCGCGCGTAATCCCGCCACAGAGCCCAGCGAGCATCTCCAAACCCTGCTCAAGGCCACAGCAGCTCTGGACGTCCACGATCTCCCAGCTCAGCCAAAGTCCATTTCCACAACAAGCACGGACACTGCTGCGGCCCAGAACAGCGATGAAGAGACAACTACGTACAAAGTTTTGCCCTTCTCGAACGACGTTTTCGATCCTCATCTGGCGCCTATCAAACTAGATGTGTCAAAGTCAGGAGGCAAGGCAGACCCGACTACTGCTAACATCTTCCGCGAAGTTACGCATTGGCATAACCAGAGATCGTTGAATCAGAAAACAAAGGTCGTTGTCGAGAAAGATCCGAAGATAGCGAAGAAGGCTCTCCGCCGAAACCAGTTCTTCATGGCCGAGATGACTTCGTACGCCGCCAGTCTAACAAACGCCGTTGGCAAGGTACTAGATCCAGAGACCATCACTCTCGGCGACAAGTCGAAAGCAGGCCAAGCAAAATCTATGACACCGACTCAGACGATCGAGAACAAGCGACCGAAGCAATCGTCTAGACAGAGCACTAAGAACATTAATGCATCAAAGGAGGCCATGCTTGCCAACATCGCCGCAGGCTCGAAGCGCAAAGATGAGGAGAACGCGAAACAATGGTACCAAGCCTGGACCGTCTCATGTGCGGGCCTTGAGAAGCAGGTCGACTTGGCTTCCAGATACAACAAAGCCAGGCAATACCTAGCCGACCGCAATGAGGCTCAGCGCCAGGTCATTGGTCCCGATGTGCGGATGTACATGCTGAACGTTCTCCTGGAGATGTGGGTGCGATTTTGCCGTGACGGCGCCAAAGAGAAGGGTCTTTATGTCGCTGCGCTTCTTTTCGATACTGCTCGGACTATTAGCAACTATGAGACTGTTACCAAGACGATTGCAAAGTGTCTGGCTCTAACGATTGAGCGCCTGAAGCTGCCCACGCTGCAAGTGCCCACAGAACAAGGCGATCGGAAGCTGCCGTTCAAGTTTGTAAGTCGTCTAATAGCTTCACAACCCGCAACCGCTAACAGAATCATAGGTTCTGGAAGAGACTGTTGTATCGGATCTAGCCTTGACCCTCTCTCCAGAGGAGTTTCAGCTTCTCCACTGCGGACCGTACTTTGACCGTACGATCGATTCGGCGCCAGATTCCCGTGTACCGTTCGAGCCAGATGCGTGGCAGCGACGCGTGCTGGACGAAATTGATGCTCGCCGCAGTCTGCTCGTTATTGCCCCAACTTCAGCGGGTAAGACATTCATCTCGTTTTACGCCATGAAGCAGGTTCTCGAGGCGAACAACGATGATGTTCTTGTATATGTTGCTCCCACCAAAGCTTTGGTCAACCAAATCGCCGCTGAAATCCAGGCACGATTCTCGAAGAACTACAAGTACAGCCAGTCTGTTTGGGGTATTCACACACGAGACTACCGGATCAACAACCCCACAGGATGTCAGATTCTTGTAACAGTTCCCCACATTCTCCAGATAATGCTGTTGGCCCCTAGCAACGCGAAGAGCTGGTCCGAACGAGTGAAGTGGATTATCTTCGATGAAGTCCACTGTATCGGCCAAGCCGAAGACGGTGTCGTCTGGGAACAGCTGTTACTCATGGCTCCCTGCCCCATCATCGCGCTCTCGGCAACCATTGGTAATGCAGAATCTTTCAATGACTGGCTATCCGCTAGTCAGAAAGCCGCTGGCAATGAATTGGTCATGGTACAACACCCACACAGATATTCTGACCTCCGAAAGTTTGTATACACGCCGCCCGCCAAACGCAACGCAGCTAGCTATCTGCCGCTCCCGAGCAACCGCTCATTTGCGCAGCTGGGATTGGACGAACATACAGACTTCGCTTTCCTGCATCCTGTAGCCAGCTTGATCAATCGTACGCGCGGACTGCCCAGCGACTTGTCCCTTGAAGCCCGAGACTGCCTTACCTTATGGCAGAGTATGACCAAGCACCAGACGGCCGAGTACCCGGTAGACAAGTCTCTGGATCCATCTTCAATACTCCCGACAGTCATCAAGAAGGCAGACATAATCAACTGGCAGGCTGGCCTCAAGAAGCTTCTTACTGCATGGATGGCCGATGACAAGTCGCCTTTTGCTGAAGTTCGGAAGGATCTCAGCAGCCCCATTTCTGGCTTGCAAGAGCATCAAGTCAGCGAGGACGCTGGAAACGACGCTGTAGACAACAAGGGACAACTCGATGAGTTGGGCATGGAAATCAGCCACGACATCTCTAGCATACTACCTTTGCTCGCTGATCTGCAGCAACAAGACGCGCTTCCGGGTATCATATTCAACTACGATCGTGCGATTTGCGAGAAGATGTGCCAAACGCTCATGAAGCAACTTGTCGATGCCGAAGTCGCCTGGAAGGAGACTAGCCCGAAATGGAAGATCAAGCTGCAGCAGTGGGAGGACTGGAAGAAGGAGGTACGTTTATCTCTTTGATCAATAACTGCACGTGTAAAACTAACTCTTTTCTAGGTTGCGAGACGAGAGAAGCAAGGCCTTCGCGGAGATGCCTCGAAGGGCATGACTAAACAGGACCAGATGAAAGAAGCCGCCAACGTCGAGGTCAGCACCTTTGCTTCGTTTGATCCGAACAAGCCTCTCGATGGATTCCACTTCGCGGATCACAAGAAGTTGTCACAAGAAGAATTTGCTGTACACGCGAAGGAGCTACGTTATCGTGGGGTCGATGAATGGCTTATCGACGGCCTCATGCGCGGTATCGGTGTCCATCACGCTGGTATGAACCGAAAGTACAGGTACTGCGTTGAGATGTTATTCCGAAAGGGTTACCTTCGCGTTGTGATCGCAACAGGTACACTTGCTCTCGGTATCAACATGCCCTGTAAGACTGTCGTCTTCTCAGGCGACTCTGTCTTTTTGACGGCGCTCAACTTCCGTCAAGCCGCCGGTCGTGCAGGTCGTCGAGGTTTCGATATGCTTGGAAATGTCGTTTTCCACGGAGTGTCTCTCAGCAAGATCCACAAACTCATCAGCTCCCGGTTACCTGATCTCAACGGACATTTCCCCATCACGACAACACTGGTGCTCCGTTTGTTCACGTTGTTGAACTCATCCGAGAATGCGCCGTTCGCTGTCCGATGCGTCAACTCCCTGCTCTCACAGCCACGACTCTACCTTGGTGGCGAGGATGCGAAGATGACAGTCCTCCATCATCTGCGTTTCTCAATTGAGTACCTGCGGAGACAGCATCTTCTGGATGCGCAAGGTGTACCTTTGAACTTTGCAGGTGCTGTATCGCATCTGTACTTCACCGAGAACTCATCCTTTGCCTTCCACGCTCTGCTGAAGGATGGATACTTCCACGAGCTTTGCGCCAAGATCGACACAAACAAAGAGGTGGTATTACGCGAACTTATGCTCACTATGTCGCATTTGTTTGGCCGACGTCACTGTCGACAGGCGGACGAAGAATACGTACGAGAGATCGTGAAGAAGAGCCCATCGCTTGTGTTCCTGCCTTCAATGCCAGAGCACGCTGCGAATGTGTTGCGTCGCCACAACAAGACTACGCTCGACATTTTCACAGCTTACGTGCGCAGTTTCGTCGACCAACATGTTCAGGAGCCGGACAACACGCTCCCATTGACAGATGTCACCGTCGGTGCCGAAGCCTCTCCGAAATCAGAGAGCCAGAACGTGAAGGCACGCTCCACTTTTGTTGCTCTTTCGGGATACGATGACAAGTTCGAGTCCATTCACGATCTGTGCAGCACTAGCCGTTCCGGCGTTTTCCTTGAAGAGGCCGTCGTACCTCACGTTGGCCTCTACCCTGAGGATTCCGATCTCCCGCTGAACGCTTACCTTTATGACTTCTTCATGCACGGTGACGTCAACGCTCTGATCACGGCCAACAAGATTCGTCGTGGAGATGTATGGTTCGTACTGAACGACCTCAGTATGACGCTCGCCACGATTACTACAAGTTTGTCAAACTTCTTGGGTCTTGCAACAGAGTCCGATCTCGATTTCATCGACGTCCGAGGTGGTGGTGACGACGAGGAAGAGAACCGGGAAGACAAAATGCTACCGAGTGACACTGCGACAGAGGCCAGTTCAGCCACCACTGCTTCCACGAGCAAAGTCCCACCCAAGCAGGAACTGGCGTTCCAACCCAAGAAGAAGGCCAAGAAGAAGGTCGAAGAATCATGGGAGGATGAGATGGGGAGCTCTTCCAGCGAATCGGAAGTCGAAGAGAGCTGGGATGCCGATGACGATGATGAGAAGAAGGAACCGCCCGCTTGGGAGGAAGGCGAGGGCTTGTTGAATGTGCTGAAGGCGTTCAAGGCTCTGAAAGAAGACTTTGACACCAAGTTCAAGGCTATGTGGGCTTAAATGCATCAACGTATAGGCCTGTTTTACAGTGTCAATATCATAGACAATAGAGCCCATCACGAAGTAGATGTTCAACCAAAGAACTCCCATTATCGTATAGCTTCCTCAAGTCATGAATTCATACCATAACTCTCAACCCTCTTGTATCATGGCTGCGGTGGTACAAACTTGACTACGTTCCTCAGTAAATCTGTACCCGTCTTCTCACAAGCTAATAGCAAGCTGTCTATCCCCGGAATGCGTTCCAGCTCATCTTGCGTCTGCGGTCTTACTCTTAAGATTAGGTCCAACGTGTGGTCTGTTATAATGGGTGGAGCCGTTGCGGATCGAGCGGGCAATTTTCGCGTTACCAGTTTACTGAAGGCTAGAAGCTTTGACCGAGCGATGCGCGATGCAGGTGATAGCGGTGGGTTTTGTGCTGGGTCTGGCGCTGAGGCTGAAGAAGGGCCTTTGCTCACGACGTCGAGGGCATGGCTCAGGGACGGTTGCTGCGTAAACTTTGCTTTCGATCTAGAAGGTGTCGTTGTATCTAGTGGTCCTCCTTCCGATACCTTGCCAGCTAGTATGGTGCGAGGTGTGGTTATCGTCGGATTTTGTAACGATTCTCCCGCAGGCTGAGCGCCTTTTTCTGCGTCGGTCTTCACCGGACTCTCAGCGCGTTTGCGCTTGGTGCCGGCGCTTGTTCGCCGACGGCTGGGACTGCCAAAGTCTAGTGATGGGAGGGTATCGTCAGAGTCGTAAGGGGATGTACTGCCATGAGATTCATTGCCATGACCCACACCAAGTTTTGTCTCTGCCATAGTAAAAGATAGGCCGGTGTGTAGTTGAGGTGTCCGTGGGGGCGCTGTTTCGAAAGCGGGAGACGAGTCTCCAGAGCTATCATCTGCAACCTTGCGTTGCATCTTTGGGCGGCGAGGTGTATGCGGCAACTGGATTTCTGGTTCGGATGGCTTCACAGTCCCAGCTGGTTGCTTGATGCCGTTCGTGGCAAGAAAAAGTGAGATAACCTCGAGCCACTCGTTACCGTACTTTGTTTGCTGGATCTTTCCAATACCTTTTACAGCAAGCAAGCCCTCAGTATCGCAAGGCTGTGCGCGCGCGATGGCTTCTAGCAGAGTGTCGGATATGACGCGAGAAGGCTGTATCTTCCCAGTCTCTGCAAGGGATGCTCGCCGAACAGCTAACTCTTCGAACAATGCTTGTGAAATATGATCCAACGTTGACCCACTAGTGTTCGCAGGTGCAGTCTTCTTCGGTATTTTAGAGCTTGTTCTTGTTGTTCCACTCTTTGCAGGTTTGACACCAAAGAAGGCTTCTGTAGTGATGGTCGTACCGTCTCCGACGTCCAACAGTATCGGGTCATCTCTCGATGCCTTGCCGCTTGGGTACTTTTCTGCGTGAATCGGTAATGGTGGGGTAGGCCTCATGGCAAGTCTCTTCGCATTCATACATTTGTAAAGCATGAAACCCGCGTACGCATCTCCAGCCGCGTAGTTGATCTGGTCTTTCGACAGGGGCTTGCTCCAGTTGCTTGTCCTCACGTCGCCCTTGTAAAGGGGCAGACCGAGCTGCTCCTCCACCTGATGTGCCAAACTGACCAGCTTGACCGACACCAACTCCGGCTTTGCAGAGCCGAACTTTACGAGGCGGTAGAGATGGCTGGATTCGACGGCACCTTTGGGTTTGAGCCCGAAGAAGCGACTCAATCTCGAAAAGTCCGCCTTCAGCACATTGACACCTACTTTGCCAATCTTGGGATCCTCAAGAATGCGTTTCAGTGTCGGCGCAATTATGTCTTCGCTTGTCTTCCCTGGGTGCAGTCCGATGTGAAACAATGCAATCTTGTCTTCAGAAGCGAGTTGGATCAGTCCAATCTTGTTCTGCAAATCGTCTCTTTTCCAATCGTTCCACGGCCACTCCATGTCAAATCCAATGACAGGCTCTTCAAGGAACTGCTTCGCGTATATCTCGGATTGCGCTTTGTTCTTGCTGTACAAAACTTCGACTTCCTTGCCTTCCGGACCTCGGTAGAGGCGATGACTCCACCATTGTTTTGGTGCGGCTTGAGTAGATGAGAAACCATAGGACTGGAGTGACGAGGCTTTAGGCTTCTGTGGTTGTATGCAGTATGCGAGTGGCCAATGTGATTTCGGTGGTTTGGCGGGGTCTTTCGAAGCCACGACGGCGTGGCTGGAATTTGCCATTGATATTATGCCCTTCCAATAGAGATATCGTCCAGACCCAAGTCGCCGGCGAGTAATGATGGATAGCATAGGAGATACCTAGGAGGTATCCTTGATCGCGCGACATGCACGCAACGTGGCGATCGGCGCTAAGACAAGCACAGACTGTCTTCAGCGCGCGCTCACGTGTGGCGCCCCTAGCGTGTTTTGCCAGACGCTCTTGCCCAGCAGTCCATGGCTACTCCCGGTTGGTCCCATCAATGCTACGTCAGGCTTTCGTCTGGAACAGTTGTCGGAATCTGAAAGACGCCTATACTCGTCTCTTTGCTCCAGTTTCGGAGGTTGACACCTTGGCGAAACCCTGACAGGTCTGCAGACGTTCCCCACTGCGTCATTACGGCGGGGATGCAGACCGTGAACCGTTGCGAAATCCGCTACTTCAAACGGCTCTCACGACCTGCAGTCTCGATTTCGACCCCAGATATCTGCGCATTGTCTTTACTTAAGTAGGCGCTCTGTTCGGGGGCGCTTCGGAGAACCAGGCAGCGAGATATCGCCTGAACACTGTCACGTAGTTGAATGACGAAGGACTGACCACACAGCAGACATTTTCTCAGCATTATCAATGCCTCCTACGACTTCTTGCGACACATGAGCGAATTGTCGAAAGGTATGATCCCGGATTTGCTTTAGGCATTGTGGGCGTGACGATTGCCAAGATGTGACAGCTGGGTCTTCACGCAGATGCGGTTTCATAGTCATATGCAACACTCTACGTAAGCACGTCACCTACTATCGGCGCTAGATGCACTGCGACAGACTATGCCACGGCTTCAGCGAATATTCCTTGGGGCCGCGTACTTCGATAATGACGGTATATGTAGGCTGGTAGCCTCATTTCGGGCCGCCTCCAAAAAACCACTTTTATTCCATCCTGTGTGCAAAGTTCTCCACGCAATTGTTTATAAACATATTTACTTTATGATGCATTTCATACCTTCAGTATTGGTCGCTGGATTAGTGGGTCTTGCGCAGGCGCAAGTACCCTCAGGTTTTACGCCTCAGGCTACCACCAAGCTTGAAGTTATCTTCAATTCGACCATGGTCAACACAGCCGGGCAGCAATTAGCAAAAGCCTGTAAGTCTCCAGATATTCCAACTCAAATTGCAATCCTGACCTGTCTAGCTGCCGCGACACAACCACAACTTGCATTGTCCAGCGCCATGATAGACGCAAGCCAAACATACATGTTTGTGATGCTCGATCTCGATGTTCCACCAGCGGACGGCAGCACAGAACGCCGCACACTACTACACTGCATGAACACGGGATTCAAAGCAACAAAACAACAACTCATGGGCGCCGCCACTCTGCTCGCATCATCGGAAAAGGGTCCCGCCCCATACATCCCTCCAGGCCCTCCAGCGACCGACACAGTCGCGCATCGATACGTCGAACTGCTCTTCCCGCAACCTGCCAGTCTGAACATTCAGGCATCAGCATTTGCTGGCGTACAAGATAGGATAGGCTTTGACATCCAATCGTTCATGTCGCAGAACGGTGTGAGTGCGCCGCTCGCGGCAAACTTCTTCCGTGTTGACGGAAGGATAAGTGCAACGGCTAGTGGGACTGGATCAGCGACAGTAGCGTCGGGCGCTGCTGCTACCCCCACGGGAACACCACAGCCTTTTACGGGTGCAGCTGGCGAGATCAGCGTACCGTATGGGACGGCTGGTTTGCTTAGCGGTGTAGCTCTTTTCGCGGTGCTCGTATTGTAGTTCACTATGTATCTTGAACGAATGTTACGATGTTACGAACTCGATCTGGAAGCCGAAATCATTTCTAAACGTAAGACTGGTGATCAAAAAGCATCACAGCCACGCATACAATTATGCTTCGAGTTCTATATGCACTGCTCTAGTTCATCGCCTTATCAGTGTCCACGATACTGTAGTACTTGCTACTGCTTTTAACGCGCATGCCCTTGCCGTACTTGATCATTACGAGAAACACTGCCGATGCAGCCATTCCGACGAAGGCTGCGGATATGAAACAGTTCTGGTAGCCCAAGTCGGTCAGCCACGGCGTAATGCTACGTTTCGTTAGCAAGTCATTCTGTAAAAGCTTTGAGGAACTCACCCGTAGCTGATTGCAAACGACATGGTGTTGCGAATCAAGATAACCGTCACGATCGCATCGCCACTTATGTCGTGGTAGCTATCGATCATGTAGTTTACGCTGATGGTGACGCCGACTGATGAAGTAAAAGCGACACAACCCATGGCAAAGACGAGTCCGAACCAGTGTACGCCATGTGCAGCACCAACACCCCAGAGTATCAAGAATGCCGGGACCATCACCAAGCATACTGCAAATGGCCATAACCGATGTTCAGCCTCCATGACGCCGTTGTTCCGGCGTGCTAGTTTGATGGTCAACCAGTCGCTGAATCGTCCTGAGAACAGTGCTCCGGCAATCACTCCAATGCAGCAAGACACGTAACTGAGACCGACCATGGAAGGCTTGAAGTTGTACCCTGGGCCGCCGAGGATGATTGAGGCAGTGGCGTTCAAGACATTGAACCAAATGAGGTAAGAACCGTAGCTGAACCCTGCGTAAAAGATGACGGGCCAGCTCAGGTACATGAGACTACGTTTTGCGCGCTCGAAGACGTTTGATCCCGGGGACGGTTGCCAGATTGATAGCTTTTGCGTGAAAGTCTTTGTTGATACTCGCATATCATCGCTCGCAGTGGATTGCGAAGTCGTCCTGTCGGCTTTCTCTTGATCAACGACCTTGGATGAGTTTCTCTGCGGAGGCTCAGCTGTAACGGTGACTCCCTCAATCTTTCTTGTATAGTTAGTCTCCTCCATGAATAGGAACATGAAGATCAGCGAGACGGTCAAGAAGATTGCCGGCCAATAAAAGACCCACTGCCACCCTTGGCCTTCAGCAATGAAGCCAGAGATGATGGGAGCAAAGTAGTTGCTACCGGCCAATGAGAATGCGTAGAACCCCATGTATTTCCCACGCTGATGGGTGAAGTAGACATCAGTTACGGAGATTTCAGGTAGAGCTTCCACTGGTGCGACAAAGAAGCCCATGACGATACATCGAGCTATCCATTCGCCATTGCTTTTGACGTACGCACTTTGAAGGTCAGTATGGAATTATGTCACTGTAGATCTATCCACACTCACCTCCAGATACTGCATCCAATGGCACCGACGACCGATATGAGGAAAGTAAGACGTTTGCCGTATCGCAGTGCGAAAGGTTGCCAAAAGAGAAGACCCCAACCGAGGAACAGGAACATGTATCCAGTGCCCTCGTTCAGCGTTGACACAGAAACGCCCGAGGCTTCCGATAGTGGTACTAAGACGGAGTAAACTGTCGACACGGCGATACCCGTCATCCAGGTATAACTTCATGGCTGATTAGTCTCATATGTGGTGCGTGATAGTTCCACGTACAGGTTGGTACATATCGTTGATGTGAGCTTGCGGCGTGGAGACCAATTGAGCGGATCATCAGGATCACTCGATGGCGCTGGGTTGAGGATGATGTCCCCATTGCCTGCATGTCGAGCTTGAATGCTATGGTCCAAATCCACTAGATGCACAGTACCTGGCACGGGGGCCGTGTCGGCGGAGTCTGCGCCAACGGTCATCGTCATAGTCGTCTACCAACTAGATAGCTGTAGACTTCAACTGCTGATGCACTTATATTTTGACTGCTGAGCTTCTGGAACTGGTTGTACCAAAAGTAGACAACAAGAGTGGGGTGGTGTGCAGGTGGAACCCCAAGAACATGGGTAACCTCCAGGGCTGCGTCATTCCAGTTTGGAGCTCGTCGTGGAGCCTGCATGTTCGTTATCACATTCCCTCTGCTCCAAATTCTTGCCCTCAGGGGATATGATAGCAAGCCATGGAGATAGCCACGCAAATGTCTCTCCTAGGCTGCCCATCTCCGTGTGTGTCTTCCGGCTTCCGCAACTCAGCAGGTCCATGCGAGGGGACGAAGAGTCGAGACACGGGACGCAAAGCGGGGAAACATTCGCTTGATAGGCAGTGGAGGCGCTGCGTTCATTGGAAGATAACCGGGAAGTTGGAGTCGTTGGAGCTGGATGTAGTAAGGAGTCGCTCGCTAGCTGATGCGGGACGATGTGGGATGACGCGCTAAGGGCCGTTCGTCGGCCTCTATTCCGCTCCTCAACACCAACCACACGCCTTATCGGCTTTATCGCCATACGATAATCGGCCGTCGTATACCAGCACGGAACTTTTCCGATGACCACGTTCACGTACGGGATGTATCTCAGCGCCACGAATGCCAGGGTATCTTGTCTTGGGCCTAGCCTCGACAATGACGATACAGGTGGAGACAAGACCGCGATGCTGGTTCACACGATTGACAAACGCTTGAGCACACAGACTACTCACATCTTTCAATCATCTAAACTGAACCAGAATGGCCAATCACCCTTTTGAGCTCGCTATAGTTCAGCCCAAACCTGTGCCTCAAGGTACAGCAGATTACGAGAAGAAGCGAGCCTCAATCCTTGAAGCCTTCGCGCAGAAGGTGCCTCCGGAACTACGCTTGTCGCCAGAAATATTTGCCAGTCCACCGAAAGATGTTTCGAAAATACCAGTCACCTGTGGTATACTCACATCCGCTGAGATCGACATCACAGAAAAGTACGATGCAGTAGGCCTTGCTGAAGCCATCGCTGCACGCAAGCTATCAGCGGTCGAAGTAGCCACTGCATTCTCGAAACGCGCTATCGTTTCACATCAATTGACATGCTGTCTGACCCAATGGTTCATGGACGAGGCTGTCAAAAGGGCGCAAGAGCTGGACGACTACATGTTAAAGAACGGCAAGACGATTGGCCCGCTCCACGGTGTTCCCATTAGCATCAAAGAGCACATGCCCATTGCCGGAACCTATTCATCACAAGGCTCGTTAGCGAGCGTTGTCTTCAATGAGGAGGATTGCCTGCTGGTGTCGATGTTGAGAAATATGGGTGCGATATTCTACTGCAAAACCAATCAGCCTCAAACGATCATGCACTTGGAGTCGACATCTCACTATGGCCGCACGCTGAACCCCTTCAACATCAACCTTAGTGCAGGTGGCTCATCTGGTGGCGAAGCTGCCCTAGTGGCCATGAAGGGATCAGTGCTCGGCGTAGGCACAGATATCGGCGGCAGTATAAGAGGCCCTGCCGCATTTTGCGGTGTCTATGGATACAAGTCGACTTCATACATGCTACCGATGAAGGACTTCCTCGCTCATTCATTTTCGGCAGAGCTCAATGTTCTGTGTAGCACTGGTCCATTCTGTCGGAGTTTGCGCGACATGGATCTTTTCATGACGACCATTCTGGACCAAAAACCGTACCTGCTGGACCCTAAGGTCGTTCCGCTTCCTTGGACAGGCTTCAATACCAAGACGAAGAAGCCTCTGAGGGTCGGTATCATCGAGAACGACGGGTTCATCGACCCTCAGCCACCAGTTAAGCGCGCTATAGCCTGGGCACGTGAGCGCCTCTCAGACTCAAGGTACTCTGAGCTTGTTCAGGTAAAGCCGTTCACACCTTACAAGGCACAGGAAGCTTGGAAGCTGATCCGCCGTATGTACTGGCCAGGCGGTGGCAAACTAGCGAAGGAAGATGTCATGTCCACAGGCGAGCCAGTGTTACCACTGAGCGACTGGAACTGGAAAGATGTTGAGTCTCTCGGTATGCTTCATGCTGAAGAGGTTAATGAGCTTCGTGCTACTCGCGACAAATACCGGTATGAATTTGCCGACAGCTGGAATGAACAGGAAGTCGACATCGTCATTGGGCCTGCGTTTGTCGGCCCGGCCTCTGCGCATGACACTGCCTTCTATTGGACATATACGAGTCTGTATAACTTTGTTGACTACCCCGGGGTGGTTGTGCCGACACCCATCAAAGCAGAGGGCAAGGAAGCATATGCCGCAGGGTACAAGCCATTGAGCGATGAGTGCAGACACACCAAAGAGCTGTGGGAGAGCTCAGACTTCGAAGGAGCGCCGATCAACTTGCAAGTGAATGCAAGAAGGTATCACGATAATGACTTGTTCGGGACGTTGAAAGTCTTGAAGGATGTTTTGGATCTGCCGTAGTAATAGGCCTGTAACTCTGAACATAGCGCGCTCCTGTACACCACACACACCTATACTGCCAGTCTCATGGATATCCCAGTGACGGCTTTTATTTGTCCTAATGGAAAGCGCTATATTGATAGCAAAAGTGACGACATCAAACGCGCTTGATGGAAGCTGTGATGCAGGAACAACCGAGGTGGCCGCAAGCGGATGGAAGCGTGCAGGGATGTTGCGCGGAAGGTGCTGCTCACACGTCAACACCACACCACCCACGGGCGCAATACCCACTTTCCCCCCTAGACAAATCGCCCTTCCCACGATGTCGCTTTCATAACACGCATCTGCGCTCTCGCCGCGCATCATGGATTACACACATATCGCAGAGCTCAGTCCAGAGCTGGCCGCGATCGAATCGAAGCAGTTCCGAGCGACCGTCACGTTAATATGGCCGTATTCATCATCGACGCGACAATTTGCCCTGCTACTCGCTGAGCCCGAACTGCGACTACGGCGCAAGAATGGACAAGTCAGAGCGCGCTTCTCTGGCGCCAGCGCGAAGGCCATTGCGACAGCAGGCGTGGGCATTGGCGATGAGGTGGTTCTGAGCCTGCGAGGTGCCGAATTTGTTAAGGAAGGCGCCGTCAGCACACCAGGCAAGAGCATTGAGTGGGAGCTATCATACACACAGACAGTAGTGATCCAGGTCTATCGAAATGGCAGCGAAACAGCAAATCTCGAACTCGTCGATGCCGCGCCCACGCCTGCGATCGGATCGCCTCTCCGCCCAGCAGCCCCGATACCTGCGCGCGAATTCTCCTCCCCTGCTTTCTTCAAGCGGGCGCGCTTATCCGACGGTCCCTCCTTCCCAGCACCCTACGATCCCTTGGCCGACGAGACGGAAGACGGCCATGACCGAAAGCGACATCGGAAGTCATACGGGGACTGGAAGGCGTGGACATACAGCGCGAGGACACCATCGCCGGAGAAAGAGGATGTGAACATGGAAGAAGAACTCGAGTCTGTTGAAGCGTCGCCTAGTCGTGCAGGGCAGCTTCCGCGCACCCCCGTTTCGCCTCAACGACCAGCCGGGTCCTTGCATGTTCAGGAAGACGAAGAGACGGAGCCGAATACTCCAACAGAGGAAGATGCAGAGGTCGTTGGCGAGTCTTCTACGGGGCCACCAAAGGACGCCGATTCCCACGATCTCCACACTGGGCCCGACGAACACCCATCATCAGATGCACAATATGCTTTTGGAGGCGATACCGAGATTGACACTGAAGTTAATACCGAGGAAGAAGGCAACACGCGCGATGAGCTTAATGCTACCAGCACTAGCACCACCGAGGCGGATGTCGAAGAACAAGAAGACAGACCACTTGAGCGCGTCCAAGAACCAGTGGTTGACATAGAGGCAGTCACAGGAAAGGATAAGATGACTTTGACTCATGAAACAAGCTCCTCAGAAGTCGTAAAATCACATGTGGAAACCGAACCTGTGCCCGCCGCTGGGGCTGACAACCACGCCAACAACGAGCTTACGATTGCTATGCCTCCTCCCGCCTTCCCATCGGTCGCTGCAGGCTTGTTAACGCCCATCGGTCGAGAGCCTGAAAGTCCAACACTTGCGCCACAAGACGCCTCCAATCTTCCATTGCCGTCACCGTTTCCAGGAGAGCATGATGCTGATGCTGCGTCTTACTTTGGCGTTGCTACTACTATCGAACAGTCGGTCGAAGCCGATACTACGGGAGACAAGGAAGAAGATCCACCAAGTGAAGCGAGCTACATCGGCGAGACGTCCTTCTTCAGCTCAATAGGCTCATCGAGAGCTTCGGTGTTCCACCCGAACCACGAGTCGGCCTACACACCTGTACGATTCACATTCGGCATGGACGGTGCTGGCTATTCTCGCCCCATGGAGCTATCGTCGCCTCCGCCAGAAGCTCAACCAATCGAGGAGAAAGCTGAGAACATCGACGTTTCAACATCGCCCGCCCCTCGCGAACACGAGGATGGCGATTTGGAAGCAGAAGATATATCTCAGTCATGCCTGAGCACTCCACAGAGCGATGATACAGATGAGGCCGTTGAAGATTTGACTACTGCAAATCCAGAAATGGTTGAAGACGAAACGGCCGAGCCAGAAGTCGTAGAACTCTCCTCGGAGGACGAAGAAGAAGCCTTGAGTGAGATCGAGCCGGATTTTATGGCAGTCGAATCTATGATGCAGCCCAACACTGCTCAGCAGCCTGAAGAAAACTCCAATGTCTCGGATGACATGCAATCTGTGACCGGAAGCCTAGAGGACACCCGTGGCCAAGCACTGGATACAGGCACACAACATGCCACAGCTACGTCAGCTATCGTCGACTTAGGCTCCCCTTCAGACGATAACAGCGAGATTGACAGCAGGCATGAAGAGCAGCAGCCTAGCTCTAGCCGAAGACAATCTCCTTCTCAGGACCAGCCCTCTGCCATGGATCTTGGCAATCATAGTGAGTTTGTAAACCTGGATTTTGCGACCGCGGACGCACCTGCTCTTGATACATCAGAGGAGCGAACAATTACTCACACCAAATCTCAGGAACCGGAGCCTGACGTTGTACCACACCCCACGGAGGAACCGTTTTTACCTGTCGGTGATCTGCCAGAATCGAGCTTTGAGGCTACTGACGATTACTTGCAAGACGCATTTCCGATGGAACACGCATCATTCGGGCAGGAACATGAGCAGATAGCTGCCTTTGAAGATGACCGTCAATCGGATGTCCACATGGAAACAATAGAAGAGGCCGCCGTATTCCAGGCAGACGAATTGAATGACCAATTAGCGCCTGTCGATACCGCCCAGACAGCTAATGAGCCTGTGAGCCAGCATTCTGACATCGGACCTGAGGATGCCCACAAGATCGAAAGCATGGGTGTTGTGCTTGAGCCGCCTGCAAAAAATACCAGGTCAAAAGCAAAGGCATCAGCGCCCCTGGAGAAAGAAGATGCTGCTGTCCCTGAAGCCAACAAACGATCCAAAAGATTTGTGACTTCTCGTGCCCGTTGCGCCGTTTCACCACCCAGAACACGCACTCATTCTGTCCTCTCTCCTTCGCAGGAATCCACACAGACTTCTCCTTATAGTCTTCGTTCACAGTCGAGATTGTCGCCAATGGAAAGCTTGTCAACTGGTGCTAGCATCGCTCGTCAGAGAGGCTCGCGTAGACATGCTTCGCAAAGAAGTGTAGACTCTATACCCGATATTGAAGTATCCCAAACGCAGGAGTATGACCGAATTGTTTCCAGCTTCCAGCCGTCGCAGGAGCTGGGTGCCTCACAAGGCAGATATTCCGATGCCGCTTTCATCAAAGACTCTGAAGAAGAGAGCGCACGCTCTGAGTGTTCGATATCTACTGTGCATCCCTCAGATATGGAGTATATGCATCACAGCGACCCTGTCGACCGTGCCAATGCTTTTGATGATGAGAATGATGAAGGCTTGAAACCGCCGCCAGCAACTGCGCCAGAGTTAGGGCCTTCAAAGCAGAAGGTCAGAGGGAAGAAGAACGCGCAGCAAAGCGTGGAGATGAGGAGTAGTAGTCCTGCTCAACCCGAATCTCCGTACGTTACACAGCCATTGGTCAGCAGTCCAGGTACGCAACGACATGTAGCGCGATCAAAGGACACGATAACTCCCAGCCCACGTAACGTACGAAGAACGAGGAGAAAAGTATACGATCTTCCAGGTGGAGGTAGCCAAGACGTCGGTGATATTGACGCGCTCATGCGCAGCTCACCACCCGTTTCACCTGGGATCGACCAACGGACGAGACAACAGAGCAAAAGGCCCATCACCCCTGTTGCAAGCCAGCAGATTGCCATGGAGTCGCAGCCCAGCATCAACGCCCAACATGAACAAAACACCCTTTTGACGCCTCAGCTCACGCAAACAACATCTGCAGGTCTGCGCTCCGTCCAAGCCGAGGCCGAGGTCGACATGGAAGTCTTGACCGCATCACCAGAGCCCAAAACAACACCGCGCCGCAAACAAAGATCGGTCGACGCAGCAACTATCCCCGCATCTCCAGCATTGATTGACCCATCGTCCGACGACGCCAACACTGAGACGCCTGAGCCACCCTCTGTCGGCCTTTCCACTCCGCTAGCTTACTATACTCCTCTAAAGGACCTCGTCTACTTCCTCAACCGCTCCTCCGATTTCCACTCGGCTACCAAACCCGACATACTTGCCTTGGTCACCTCTCCTACTACGCCAAGTGAAAAGGCCAAGAAGGGTCCAAAACACTGGTTTACTAGTCTGCAGATAACGGATGCTAGCTCCTGGCCCGAGACGACAACAGTACAAATCTTCCGCGCTTATCAAAATGCACTTCCAGAGGCGCAGGTTGGCGATGTGGTCTTACTCCGCGCATTCGCTGTGAAGTCGTTGAACCGGCATCCTATGTTGATAAGCGCAGACGAGAGTGCGTGGTGTGTATGGCACTGGGGCAAACCTGTCTGGGGAGCGAAGAGAGGTGCGTTTGGTGAATTGAGGGCAAGAGAGGAGATCAAAGGACCGGCTGTTGAGAAGGGTGCAGGGGAATGGCGCGAAGTGGAGAAGTTGAGGGGTTGGTATACCACGAAGATAGGTACTGAGCTGGCAGAGAAAGAGGAGGCGAGGGTTCGAACGAGGAGTAAAGACAAGGGAAAAGAGCCCGCAGGTGAAGATGCATGAGTGTTGTGGGCTTTTGCTCGGCGTTGAGGAACGTCCCGAGTGTGGTATGGTTATGTTATCGGCGCATGTATAGGATACACTGGGTGCATTACGTTCGTGCTCTGGTGGACCACATTAGCATGAGCAGCACTGCATCACTTTGCGAGTCAATAAAGTATTGAGAGATCATTCATGTGTCTCATTGGTTTCTACCATATTCCTTTTCATGCGATCGTATCTTCATAGCCCACACCTAAACCCTGAAGTCTAGAGCCAGCTTTTCGCCCAGAGCGTCTATGACTACTAGGCCAGTCCGTGGGCCAGCTTTCCGTCGCAGGAGCTCGTAGCTACTAAGCTCACTCCATTCTCTCGTAGTCTAATTGTATGAGGCGTCTATTTCTCGTAAACCCAGTCGTGCTGGGCGGACTTCCAGCTCTGGACCTCACCCTCCTTGAACCAGAGAGCGATCTCCTTCTTGCCGTTCTCGACGCTGTCGGAGCCGTGGCAGACGTTGCGGCCAACGTCGAGGGCGAAGTCACCACGGATGGTGCCGGGGGCGGAGGCGAGGGGGTTGGTGGCACCGAGGATGGAGCGGCCGGTCTTGACGGCGTCACGGCCCTCCCAGACCATGGCGCAGACGGGGCCGGAGCCCATGTCTAGATGGTGTCAGTGGTGAAACTGGGTATATATCGTTCGGCATGGCCAACGTACAGGCAATTAGACCGGGGAAGAAGGGCTTGTCGCTCAAGTCGGCGTAGTGCTTCTCGAGGTGCTCCTTGGAGGGAGTGACGAGCTTGATGGCGGCGAGCTTGAAGCCGCGGTTCTCGAAGCGGGTGATGATGGGACCGATGAGGCCACGCTGTTGGGCAATTGTTAGTATATGTGCTTTTTATCTTTTGTTGAGAACCCCGCTGTCCCAGTTGTAACAGCAGAATCATTGCAACAATTGATTCACTGTCGACAGGTTGAAGAGTACAAAGTTCGAGAACTGAGAGAGAAACATACCTGAACACCGTCAGGCTTGATAGCGATGAAGCTATTCATCTGTCAGTATACCGTTCACCGCCCTTCAGCTGCCCCTCGTCGTGGGATCAGGATGCCGAACGTACGTCTGCTCGGTAGTCATTTTGGCGATGAATTGACGTTTGAGTTTTTGTGTAAAAGTGATTTGTCTTTACGACTTGATGGGAGGAAACGAGAAGGAGAGGCGGACCTGTAGCTGGAATTTTATGAAGGGGGTGGGGTATGGACGCCCTCGTTGTTGTCTAGTGGGGTAGCTTGCATAAAATTATGCCTGATTTGTGCAAGAGAGCTGGACCCTGACCTTGGCGCTGCTTCAAAGTCCACATGGCATCTCGAGCGTCGAGGACTGGCCGATTGATTGATAGACTGGTGATATTCCAGGCTGGCTTCTGTGTATTAGAGAGCTGCCTGTCATGATTACTTTACGGAAGCAGCCTCCCCGGTGGACGGCTGTGTTTTTGGTGTTGGCGCTGTTGGCTTGCCTGTTCGTGCCAGCTGGTATGTAGCTAAGCTCACCCCCGATATCTCCAACCCACGATGGCATTCTTTCCGCATATATTCGAAGCTACGGGGAGGTTACTAAGAGTTATCAGTATCGGTCAAGCACGAGAATTTCAAAACATGCAGTCAATCGGGCTTCTGCAAGCGCAACCGCCAGTTCGCCGATGACGTCTCCGCTTCGAGCTCCTGGACCTCGCCCTACGTTCTCGACCCTGCCTCAATCACGTTCAAAAATGGCCAATTAGATGCCGTCGTGCTCAAGACACTGAAGGAAGGCGAAGAGAAAGCTCGCTTGCCGCTCACCGTCACGTTCCTCGAATCGGGCGTGGCACGCGTCACTCTTGACGAAGAGAAGAGGGCCAAGGGCGACATCCAACTGCGACACGACAGTCAAGCGCGGAAGGAGCGATACAACGAGGCGGCGCAATGGACTCTTGTTGGAGGGCTAGACCCGTCCAAGGGCGCTGCTTTCAACCCCGAGACGGAAGATGGCTACACCAAGGTTGTCTACGGTAAGGGCAGCAAGCACCAAGCCGTCATCCGCCACGCGCCCTTCGGCATCGAGTTCCAACGCGATGGCGAGACCCAAGTTAAGTTCAATGAGCGCGGCTACATGAACGTCGAACACTGGCGGCCCAAGGTCGAGAAGCCCCAAGAGGAGAAGAAGGGGGGCGAGGAAGAAGTCAAGGAGGAAGTGAAGAAGACCGAAGAGCCTGTAGAGGACGAAAGCACATGGTGGGACGAGAGCTTTGGTGGCAACACGGACAGCAAGCCGAGAGGCCCTGAGGCTGTTGCGCTAGACATTACGTTCCCTGGATACGCGCACGTCTTTGGTATCCCAGAGCACGCGACAAGGCTATCTCTCAAGACCACCAGGTGCGCGGTATCCACACGAATACATCTACTTAGCTGACAATCTCTAGGGGCGGCGATAATGCCTACACCGAGCCATACCGACTATACAACGCCGACGTCTTCGAGTACGAGATGGACAGCCCCATGACTCTCTACGGCGCCATCCCGTTCATGCAAGCCCATCGCAAGGGTTCCACCGTCGGCGTCTTTTGGCTCAACGGTGCCGAGACCTGGATCGACGTGGCAAAGAAGAGGAACACCGCGAACCCGCTCGCTCTTGGTGTTGAGGGTCATACCGATACTGAGACGCACTGGATGTCTGAGAGTGGTCTGCTGGACGTCTTTGTCTTCCTCGGACCGACCCCTCAGGACCTCACTCGCCAGTATGGTGAGCTGACTGGTTACACGGCCATGCCCCAGTCCTTCGCTATCGCCTACCACCAGTGTCGATGGAACTACGTCACCGATGAGGATGTCAAGGACGTCGACCGCAGGTTTGACAAATTCAACATCCCGTACGATGTCATCTGGCTTGACATTGAATACACACAGGAGAAGAAGTACTTCACCTGGGATCCTCTGACCTTCCCCAACCCCGAAGGCATGCAGCAGCAGCTCGACAAGCGTGACAGGAAGCTTGTTGCGATCATCGACCCTCATATCAAGAATACGAACGATTACCCGATCATCGACGAGTTGAGGAAGAAGGACCTCGCTGTCAAGAACAAGGAAGGCAAGCAGTACGAGGGCTGGTGCTGGCCTGGCTCATCCATGTGGATTGACTGCTTCAACCCGGCTGCCATCGACTGGTGGAAGGGCTTGTTCAACTACGACAAGTTCAAGAGCACTGCCCACAACACCTTCATTTGGAACGACATGAACGAGCCCTCGGTGTTCAACGGCCCTGAGACAACCATGCCCAAGGACAACTTGCATCACGGTAACTGGGAGCACCGCGATGTTCACAACATCAACGGCATGACTTTCCACAATGCAACATACCAAGCCATCACCGAACGCAAGAAGGGCGAGATTCGCCGTCCCTTCGTGCTGACCCGAGCTTTCTACTCCGGTAGTCAGCGCACTGCTGCCATGTGGACTGGCGACAACCAGGCTGAGTGGAGTCATCTTGAGGCTTCCATACCCATGGTCCTAAACCAGGGTATCTCTGGCTTCCCCTTCGGTGGTGCGGATGTTGGAGGTTTCTTCGGTAACCCAAGCAAAGAACTCTTGACTCGCTGGTACCAGGCTGGTATCTACTACCCGTTCTTCCGTGGCCACGCTCATATCGACACTCGTCGCCGCGAGCCATACGTTGCTGGCTCTCCGTACACGGAGATCATCACTCAAGCCCTTCGTCTTCGTTACCAGCTTCTGCCTGCCTGGTACACTGCTTTCCATGAAGCTCACACAACTGGTGCGCCTATCATCCGACCCAACTTCTGGGTCCACCCTGCCGACGAGCGTGGTTTCGAAGTCGACGACCAACTCTACATTGGTTCCACTGGTCTTCTCGCCAAGCCAGTCACAAAGGAAGGTGCTGATAGTGTCTCTATCTACCTCGCGGACGACCAGCCCTACTACGACTACTTTGACTTCACCACTTACAGCGGCGCTGGGCACCACACTGTACCAGCTCCTCTCGAAAAGATTCCTCTTCTTATGCAGGGTGGCCATGTCATCCCACGCCGCGACCGCCCTCGTCGTTCCTCTGGCCTCATGAAGTACGATCCCTTCACTCTGGTCATCGCTCTCGACAAAGACGGTAACGCTGCCGGTACTCTGTACGTTGACGACGGCGAGACCTTCGACTATGAAATGGGTGCCTTCATCCACCGCCGCTTCTCCTTCGACGGCACCCGCCAGATTCTCACTTCCTCCAATCTCGACTCTAGCAAACGTACTGTCAAGTGCGAGAAGTATCTCAAGACGATGGAGAAGGTGCGCGTCGAGAAGATCGTCATTGTCGGCGCACCTAAGGCTTGGAAGGACAAGTCTGAGGTCGTCGTGATGCAGGAAGGTGAGAAGGAGACACAGAGGAAGAAGCCTGTGCCGCTTGAGTTCCATGCTGCCGAGGGTAAAAAGGCTGCGTATGCGGTGGTGAGGGACCCGCGGGTGTTTATTACCAAAGGGTGGAAGATCGACTTCGCTGAGAAGGGTGCCGGGCATGAGCATCATGGTCATGAACATTGAGCTCTGGGGTGTCTAGATGCAGAGAAGCACGCATTGCAACAGGGAAAGAATCGTGGAATCTGAGATGAAACGCAATCTGTATAGAACTAAGATTACGAATACGTGTCTTGCGCATATGAAGACATCTTCATCAGCGTGTATAGCTCCAGCCGCTCACTTTCTCACTGCTCGGACGCTTTCGTGACCGGGCAAATACCACGGCCTCTCGCTCTGATCAGTGCGTTCTGTACGGATAGCATGCATGACGAAACATGCAACCTCATTCGCCATCAGTTCCAATCTCAAGCTCGAACGCTAAGCCATGGTATCATTCGCTAGCACTTCGCTGCGTCCCTTGCCATCCGGCTTCTTCCACACGCTATGCAGAGTACCGTCAAGTTCCAAATCCCATAGGAAGGTCCAATTTGCGGTGACGAACTCATGGTGTGGATATTCATCGACGAAATCCTTCGCTTCTTCTTCTGAGGCCCAGAAGGACACCATTTCAACCCGCTGAGAGTTGACCACCCTTGTCTTGAGCTGGTCCGGCATTGCATCGGCAAGCCAAAGCAGATAATGGTCCACATTATGCGAGAGAGACGAGTCTCCCGGAAAGCCATAGATAATGGAAAGGCTTGCGAGATGGAGTAGGCAGATATCCGTGACTTCATCGAACCATTGAATGATGCTGAAGTCTGCAGTCGGTTTGCAGTGCAGGCGGACGTGCTGCATTTCCGCGAAAGTCTCAGGTATGTCGATGCGGGCGTCTTGGAGCTGATCCTGGAAGATCTCGAGGTAGTTTCGGAATATTTTGGAGCACTCGCCGTCCATTTCAGATCGAATCTGGTGACAGGATAGGTAGAGCCCGATGTAGGAGGAGAGAGGTGCTGTGTGGGGTATAGCAATGTAACCGTATACTTGGTTGCGCAATTCCGCGGGCAGGTCAAGAAACGACGACATCTTGCACTTCGCTGTGGCAGACGCGATTGGAGTGCTTGTGGTGGCTTGCAAGCTGTTGTTTGTTGGTGCTTGGTGCTTGGTGAGTGAGTGAGTGAGGAAGTGACCTAGATATGAACAACGCGTACTAGTGCAGAAGGCGCGTTTGTGTCACCTTCACATGCGATGACACCAGCGCCGAAGGCAGCTTTGTTGGAAAATTTGGAGCCAATTTCAGGTATCATGACTGTTCAAATGACTGATGCAAAAAGTACCTACCTTACCTGACTCCTTGACAGTGTTGGGTCGCACAACGCTTGGGACTAAGGTTGGGAATGGATACGGACGTTGAATGGCCGTCGACCGAGAGCTCCTCAGCAATGGCGTCGGCATGAATGGTTTGAAGATTCTTGAAAGATTTAGATGAGGCAAACCGAGTCAGTATTGCAGTCTGTAATATTGCAATACCTGAGGCCACAGCAACATCTTAACGTATAGTGACACTGACGCGGTGCCGTGTAGAATTAAAAAACCTGTTTCTGGTGGCAACGAACTTTGAAGGCTTCCTTTCAGATCTTCATATTCGCATTCATTTTTCTGTACTACCTTCTGCCACATGTTGTGTATTGTGCAGGCTCGTGCACTCCGAAGACCTGGCAACCCGACGATGCGTGACGTCAAAGTGAGCGAAGTCATTGGTCATTCGCTCACGACCACATTAAGTCACAGCGCAAACGTCAGGTGCAGACAAAACACCGCAACGACGATTTGCACCCTCCTTTTTCCAGTTCCAAACCACGTTGGGCGACCTCTTTTTCCTTTCCATCGCCATCCAAAGCATAGTCGCCATGCCTCAATACCACACCGCGACCGGAACGGTCTCGTATCCAGATGCAAAATCGAGCTTTCCCAAGTTTCCGCAGGTCGGGTTCGGTCGCGCGGTCGTTATCGGTATCGGAGCCGGCTTCGTAGGAGCCTTAGTGTAAGACAGTCGCCACCTGATCTTCTATCTGCGAATGCCTGACCTTCTCCAGCATGTCAGGATCGAACAAAGTCGAACAGTTCTTCACAGGCCGTCCTGACTCCTACGTACCCGCGCGAACGATGGGCAACCACATGGGTGTCTCGCCAGAATTTTACCAGCGCCACACCTTCCTGTTGAATCATGCTCATCACTTCGGTATGGGCATGCTTGCTGGGCCTTTCAGAGCGGTCATGTCGTACTACGGCGTCATCGGTCCATTTGCTGTATTCATGCATACCGGTATTCGCATCATGCTGGATCAGTTGATGGAGACTACGGCGAATGTGTCAATGCTTCCGTGGACTTGGCCGATCAACGAGCAGGTCATTGACATTTTGCACAAAGGGACATATGCGCTTGTCACTGGCTACATATGTGATAAGATGGTGAGGGGTGTTGACTGGTTCAATAGCTGAGTTCTTGCAGTGATCCAGCAATCAGCCAATACAGAGCGATGGTTATGGATTACGATGCGACGACCAGAATGTATTGTATTTTATTATTGTATATATACTGCGTTCGTCGTACGGCCTCGCGATAGTGACGCATTTATGGCATGTTTGGATTTGGGGCGCCCTTGCTCAGCTTGAAATGACCCGGATGCAAGTTCTGGAAGACCTGAGCGGGATCGTACTTTTTACTCACAGAGACCAGTTTCTTAACATTCGCCGCTCCGTAACTAGCAATCGGATCCATGAACTGCGAGGCATAGTTCATGTAGATATAGTCGTTGTCCACGCCTTTGGCTTTTGCCTCTGCCTTGACCTTCTTGATGATCGTAGATAGAAACTTCAAGATGGTTGCTTCATCAGCTGCATTGGCGAATGATGCGCTCATGTTCATGATGAAGATGGGGCCTTTAGCGGGCGTAAGACCAAGGGCGTTGCCACCGTTCTTCTGCATACCCTTCAACTGACCTTCAGTGATAGCCTGGATTGAGATTGTTGGGAATGCGCCTTGAAGATCTTGTACGCCTGGGATGAGGCTGTAGAAGGTGTTGACAAGGAAGCTGAATAGCTCGCGATCGACCTTGAATGTGGCATCCCATTGGGTTTGGAGGGAGCCGAGCGTGTCGTTCGGTGATCCACCATTCATCTTTATAGTAAGGTCGCTGAGGTAGCCAATCCCCGTGTCGTCCATGACCGGCGTAAGAGCGTTGATATCATCAAATACAGAAGCATTGGCAATGGGCTGGGCGTAATGAGTCTGAACGATCGCGATCTTGCCCATCCCTGGGTAGTTGCCAAATGATACGATCTCGGCAGCGTCGGTATCTTTTGAAGAGCCGACAGTAGCGAATTTGTAGATAGCATCGAGGACGGCTGGGAAGTTATTCTCTGTGAAAATGCGCTGGCCACCCCACATCTTGCCAAGGGGAAAGGCGTTGAGCTTGAAGTTAGTAACTATACCAAAGTTGTTACCGCCACCGCGAAGAGCCCAGTACAGATCAGCGAACTGAGTTGGGCTTGCGGTGACAACAAGACCAGACGCAGTTACAACCTCATAGCTAGCAACGTTGTCGCATGCCCACCCCAGCTTGTTCGAGAAGAACGAGATCCCGCCACCAAGAACGAGTCCCGGAACACCGACTGGAGCCATCTAGAACCATTTTAGCCTTTGTATCACATACGTGAATTCAGATAACCTACTCTGCCTCCAACAACACTGACACCAGATTTCTCGACACCCTTGTAGACATCGACCCAGCGAGTTCCGGCCCCAACATTGGCATACTTCTTGTCATTCGACACTGCGACTTGATTGAAACGCTCCATCGAGACGGTGATGCCGCCGTCAATACTCGACGCTCCGGCAAAAGCAGCATGGCCACCACCTTTCACAGCGAAAGGGCACTGCGTTAGGCGAGAGAGAAGAACTAGTGAAGACACTTCGATCGTGTTAGATGGCTTGAAGACACATCTTGGGTTCACAGTTCCCTGTTGAATGCTCCAATAACTGCCAGTAAAGGCGTCATACGCGGACGTCTCCTCGGACAGGAGCTTGTCGCCACTATATATCAGCTTCAGGGAGGAGCACTGGTAAGCAGTCAGTACTTTAGATTAGGAGCGAAGTGTTCGGTTGAAAACATACAGCGATAGAGCAACCGCTTGATGCACTTCGTTCCACCAGACCAGAGAGCTCAGGAATAGCTGAGACATTGACGCCATTGGATATCAAGGCTTCCGTGATATTAAAGTCTGCCGGTTCAAAGATTCCATTCTGGGCTGAAACGGCTGCCACGATGGCGCCAAGCGAAAGAAAGGTCTTCATCTTGGACTTTGTTCGTAAAGAATGAACGATGCTGGGCGTGATCGAGATACCCAAAAGTATTGCGGTGTAGTATTAGCCCAATTTATCATTCTGTACCTGGAAGATCTTCCGCGGACCACTATTGGCACATCGTGCCCAGGTGCATGCGCGGTTCATCTCGCTTGGGGTTCCATGACTGCGTTGCTGGCTGTGAATGGCTCAATACTAGAGTTGCCGCATGCGAAACTTAGTATACGTGCGGCGGTGGCAAAGTTCGAGCTTGGGACGCGGCGGAGTTAGCCATCCTACGGGAAGGGAGCCCTTACTGTACCCACGGCTCGCTTGCATAGATTATATTGCGGCGGCAGACCCGACTGCTTCTGTCGTATCTACCTGCTTCATTGCGCTGGCATGCATCCTACTACATACCGTGGCAAGAGAGAACGGTGTCCACTAATCCACTAACCAACCTCTTCGGCGAGATCTGGTAGCGATATGGCGGGTGATCTGGGCGGACTCATGCGGGCAGTCGGTCGGCTGGTGCACGGGTGCGGCATTTGGCGCAGGTAGGTGCACATGTGGGACCCTGAACGCCAAGCGGCGCTTGGCCGACGAGGCGGCAGCCTGCCGTCCGAGGATGGACGACATTGTTGGGACCACGATTCCATGCCTGTATCGCGTCACTATCTATCTGAGGGCATTGTTAACTACACATCAACTGGTCAGCTGTCGTGATAGCAACTGATGAACGGCACCACTTAGCTGCTTCTCTTTCCTCGCAACGATCCCGAGTCCCTTGAGGTTCCCGCTTCAATAGATTCATGCCCAGGTGGAAGTGGGCCCGCACTCTACATCTGCAGTATGTGATCTTGGACGCCGGGTAGTCAATAAATTCCTCGATAGAGATCCAGCAATCTGGTTAATGAGTACCCAGACACGCCATCGCAAGTACCATCCCATCTGTCAGGACATGTTACCTTTCTGGGGAAGTTCTTTTCGCTTCCTTCATGCGTTGAGCGCAAAGGGCCACCACCGGTCGAAAGCCCTACACAGATACGCGGTACGATCCTCATCATATACGCTCAATACGGTCTCTCATAGGGCCTACACGAGGACAATGCGACAAGCCGCAGCAATCTCTTCCACCAGCCTAATCGGCTCATTCTCCCGATGTTAGCCTAAGAAAGCTTTTGTTCATGAGCCTGAGATCCTGTGTTCTAGATCGCATCGCATGTTCGGGTACATACGACGTAGGATGCTTGGGACGGCAAGCCCAAACATGGACAGGGTTTGCCCGTGACACTCAGCCTCCTTAAGGAAGGAGTCCACTTGTCGGTTTTGGTCAACGTACATCATCAGGTACCATTGATTCCTGATACTGGCTGTCCCAGGGATCCGGGAACCACGCCGCTGAGCTCTCCGAGTCTTCCAAGAACCCCCGACATTTGTATTTCGATTGTAACGATGCTCTCCAGGACTTGTGAATCCGTTTGGCTATCGATTTCGCATCAACTCGAATGTCCGCACCCCAAAAGACACCTATCACGAGGGACGAGCTGGTGCGTGCAAACGCCGCCATGCTCGTACTGACATCAACATTTGTGTTCTCTCGCATCGCGCTCCAAGTTTTGAAACGTCGATCATTCGAGCTCTCGGACTTCTTCATCTACTTTGCTTTCGCTTTATTCGTCTCAATGTGGACATGCTATCTGATGGCAGTATGGCCTATGTTCCGGGTGTTCGCAGTCCTGGGAGGCCTGGCCAAACCCTACGCGACAATGATAGAAGATACTGCAGCTATGATAAAACTCATCGTAGCAGGCCAGATGTGCTTCTACACACTTCTTTTTTCGGTTAAGATGTCTTTGTTGACACTCTACCGTAAACTGCTGACCGGTCTTCCTGGTGTGTACAAGAAGATATGGTGGGCTATCGTCTCGTTTTGTATGGTCGTAAGTCGTTTTTTCTCACATTGGTCTCGTGTCCAAGATGCAAAGGCTTACTTCCGAAAGTCATGGATTGGCAGTGTTTTCAGCAGCATTTTTACGTGCGATAATCTGAAAACCAAATATGCGCAAGGCAGATGCGTTGGCACCCCAAACGAGAACGACAGAATCATTTTCAGTCTTTATTTTGCCTACTCGGTAGACGTCGCTACCAACTTCGCGAGTATGTTGAATAAGCCTCTAACAATACACTAAGCGATACTGATTAGCGACAGTAATGTTTCTACCAATCCGACTGACTTGGAATCTCCAACTACCACGCAAACAGAAGATTGGTGTCTTCGTGCTGTTCGGCAGCGGCTTCGTATGTGTCGCTTTCGCCACGCTTCGTGTTGTACAACTCGGAGTCGACGGTCGTGGCAGGGCGACTACACCTGAGCCTAAGTGGTTGTTGCTTTGGACTGTTGTAGAGTGTGCTATGGGTATGCTCTGTTTGGAGGCCTGAAAAATGTAATCTGTACTAACAATATCCCTAGCTGTCATCATCGGATGTTCACCCGCCTTCGCGATACTGGTTCGCAAACGCTCGAACGCGTCGAAGCCGTCCTATAACGCGCAAGGTTATGTCAAACAAGCGTCCGACAACATAAGAATGAAGGGTATAGTCAGCTCATCGATACGACCGCAAGGCGATAATCGAGATCTATTTTGGGGTGATGCGCATAGCAGCCAGGAGGAACTTGCGAAGAATGCCGGGCGTATCGTGGTTAAGACTACTGTTCATCAAGACGATGAGATCTCAAGTCACGATTCCAAACGTAACAGTACCGGTGGATCATGGGCCGTTGAATCGCGCACGGGGAGTACAAGTGTTGTAGAACGGCTCGCCATTAAAAGGTAACAGAGGTACAACTAGCATGCCGTTCAAAACCTCCACACTCTATTTTGACCGTGATTTCTGTGACACATGCCCACAATTACTCAAAACGCTCAAAACGGCAGGAAGCCATGTCTGAACTACGCTAGTACAACTATAGAAAATACGCAACTAATCACACGGCCATGATCGACTCGCCACCGTCTTCCGTTATCCTTTTCCGGATGTTGATCTTAAGCAGTTGGCCCGTAGCTTTTGCTAAGCTTCCGTCGTCATTCTTCGCGAGTACAGTGCTCGGACAGTACACAAGCGCTTCTCCGGTTTCCAATCCCTCGATCCGCTGCATGAGAGCCTTGTCGTCGTTGTTGTCAAGGGCGCTGATATGTCTTCTGAGTGCGGCATACCAGGTAGGGCTCGTAAAGCGATGAATGACGGTCATGTTGCAAAGCGCAATAAGATCTGTGGACGTGGTCGGTTCTTGAGTAGAAATGATCATACGGGTACCCAAGTGCCGCTGAAAACGGATCGTGTGGTCGAGACTGTCTGCGAGAAATTTCGATCCTGGACTATCGGACATGTACTAGCATTGTGTTAGCAAAAGCTTGTTGACCGAGGACCAAAATACTATACCTTGTGCGCTTCGTCCAACACTACCATCTTACTCTTGACGGGAGATTCCAGAAAGCGGTCCAAGCCCAGCTTGAAGAGAACACAGGCTGTGCTCGATGACATGAAAGAATCGGACAGATCCATGATAATCATCTCGCCCGGAAGAAACTCTGGCTCCGCCGCCTTGCCGTCCAGATCGAGGAAGGACTCAAGCATCGCTAAACGTTGTTTCAGGGCTTGCGATTGTGCATCGTTTAAATCTATCCGCTTAACTTCCTTGGTGAACAACTTGTAATCGAGTCGTCCATCTTTGCTCGTGGATGACATCTTCATGAGCACCATTTCGACCTGGCCCATGTAGAGTGGGGGGCTCTTATCTCCAATACCCATCAGTGCACGCAAACCGGTGATGTCGAGAGCCCGGGCGTTGAGTCTGAACGGAATCACGCGGATATTGCGAGAGGGATCCTCGTAACAGCTTCTGATCGCTCTATTGTGCGCGGAGACCAACACAGTGATTCTTTGCACGTTTTGCCCAGGATAATCGGGCCGCGCACGAGACAGATGGACAGCTTCGCTGACGCTGAAGCCTGCACCACCGGTGCTCCAACTTCCATAGCTGAAGACTAGAGCAGAAGCAGGCGCTTCCAAGCAGCCAAGGTTCTTGGATGGGATCAAAGCATTTTCGAGCAAGCAAGCTGTAGTGTGACTTTTACCACTTCCTTGAACACCGCATATGAATGCGGACAAAGGCACATTGGTGTTGTAGAACAGCTTAACGGCATGTCCCGCTTCGTCCCAGTGATTACCGATGAAGCCGAATTGCGGGACCAAGTCTTTCACGTGCTGAGCGACCACAGGGGCCGATAGCAACGGCGCGTGCTTGATATCTCTCATAACACCTTCCATAGTCGCATCAGCGTTATCGGATTGGAACTTGTTCGGAACGAGACTGTCCATAAGACTGAGATCCAATTCAAAATCCTGTCGATCACTTTCCGCGGCTATCGGTAACGAGGGGGGTGCCTCAGCTTTGCGAGCACCCTGGCTGGATCCAGAGATTGGATGAACATCTTCGCGGCTGTATTCGGCCACACGCAGTTCCTCGAACGAGTATTGCGAATATAAGCGTAGGAATGTGATCGTGTTGGACAGCTCAACAGGATTCCCATGTTGGTCTTTCTGAATGACGTACGTCGGGGGTTTACCTGCAATACCATTGTTTGCGGCTGGCGGCGCCGTCTTGTGGGGGGCCTGTGACGGAGATGAAGATGGCGGCTCCGATGGTTCCAAGACCATTGCCGAAGGTTGCGATGCCGGCGCTTGTATTGTTGGGGAATCTGTTGATGTGTGTGGTATAGAGGTCGATGGGGCTGCCGACTGCGTCATTGCTTGTGGTGCAGTGTTTTGGGATGCTGTGGTCGTTGCTACTGTTGTTTTGGCTAGTGAAGTTGCAGTGTGTTGTAGGCTCGGACCCTGAGCTCTCCTTAATCGTTCACGACGGGCTTTGGACTTGTCTTGTTGGACCACAGTTGTAGAAGGGAGACTTTTCAATACACGGAGTCTGCAACAGATCAGCAAGTCGACCGCCAAAAGGGTCAGATGATACTCACCGCGACACCGCTCGGTTGATTCGCGCATGCTTTGCTCCATCTGGCTCATGTGCTAAGAGCTTTCCAAGAAGTTTGGGCCAGCCGATGAAGTTGGATGTATTCTCATCAAATCCTATCTCGATGTACTTATCCTTGATCCACTTATGCAACTCTTCATCTGGATCGGGTGTCACCGGGGGTTGACTGTTAACTTCGGCTGGTCCAGAAGTACTTGTTGACGCAAGACTGCTTGAGCCGTTGCTGCTCGACGTGTAATCTTCGTCATCTAGTATCCTTTTTCTAGCAATGGTAGCCTGCGCGACGTTTCTATAGGTGGCGCCATCTGTCTCTGACACCAGCGGCTCCTGCACTGGAAGCTGGTCTTGCGCGGCTTTGGACGGGATCGACGGGTTTAAGGCAGCGGATGTGTCTGCAGGTCGAGTTGGTGACGATGCTGCTGGAAGACTGGCAGGCGGTGATGGCTTCAACGCTGCATTTTGCGTTAGGGGTTGGATTACGGAAGCTTCCGGCTTTGGATCCTCTGTCGATGACATTCCTGTTTTCGCTGTAGACGAACCGAAATCAGAGAACTTGAGAGGCTGCTTTGCAGCGGGTGATGCTTTGAAATCTTCCCAAGCCTGTGAAATACCGGACGCCCCACCTGACGGAAGAGTCGATGTGAAAATCAGCGACAAAGGCGCCTTCGATGCCTTGTCTGATGAGAAGATAGTCTGCGGTTCCTTGTCTCGAGATGTTAATTATAGCTTTAGCTACATTTAATATTAGAATTTAGTTATATATATAGCTTTAGGTGTCTAAAAAGTAGTTACGCTAATTAGTTATAAAAACTTTAACGCTTATTAGCTATAAGCTTATAGATATTACGTAATAACTATACCTTAGTAAAGACTTAGTAGAATATATAAACTTTAGCAAAAAAAAAAAAAGGTAATAATAATAATATAGGTTAATACACAAAAAGAGCGTATAATAAAGAAGATTTAAACGTAGAAGCTCTCTTATAGTTACTTACTTTAGATAAGTAGCCTGCCTACTTATAGTAGTAGAGAGATTGCGTTATATAATTAGTACTTTGCTATAACGTAGGTGCATGCTTCGCGGTCTAGCATGCTTTGCGGTCTACCTATACTAAGACTCTACTAAAACCCCTCTTATTATAGCCTATTATAACCTACTTTAGTATAATATAGTATAAAAGATACTAAAATAGAATTAAGAGGCTACCTCTACTTTATAATTATACGTTTATACGTTATACTCTATATTATTATAGCGTCTATAGCGTTTTTAGAATAGTTTACTTTCTTTAACGCGCGCTAGCCTTTTTACTCTTTTTTTATTATTACGCGCTCTAAACTTTTATAAAGCTATTCTACGCTAGCTATTCTCTACTACTATAGACTTTTCTACTCTAACTTGCTTTCTTTTATATAATTTACGCTACGTAGTAGCCTTATTAGCTACCTAAAGCTTAGTAATCTTCTTTTAGACTAATACTAGCTTATATATAATTATTACTACGCTCTTTAAGATCTTCTTAAAGGCCTCTACTATAGAAGTTAGAGAGTTATCTATATACCTCTAAATTCTTTACTTTACTAGCATTAATTATAACTCTATTTTAAAAGTATTACTAGAGGTTTATAATAGCTAGAGTAAGTTACTAATAAGTAGTAGTAAAGAGATACGTAACTATATATTAAAGCCTATTATAACTCTCTCTAAGTTAAATAGAACTAATCTAGCGCTTTAAAACTCTTCTTAGATATTACTAGAAGTAATTATAGCGTTAAAGACGCGCTTAAAGTATAGTAGAAACTTAAGTTTTATAATATAGCTAATCTAGTTATATATTAGCTTCTTAGCTTAGTAGCTATACGCCTTCTTTAATAGCCTAAAATAACCTATATTAAGTAGCTATAGTAGGTAAGATAAGTGTAGAGGTATATAGAGAGTAATAATCTTCTTCTCTTTATAGTATTACTTAAACTAAAGAGTGTTATAGCTTTTATATCTATTAATAATAAGTAGCTAGTACTATTCTATAGTACGCTTCTCTGTATAGGTATTAAAGTACTCTAACTACTAGAAACTAATCTTATTTATAGTCTAACTATTCTTAGAGACTAAGATTAACTAATTCTAAAGTATAGCGTTCTCTTTATACTAGGTAGAGAGGTAATATTACTCTTTAAAGATAATATAGAGTAAAATAGCTTATTCTATTATATTAATACTCTAAATAACTATAGTCTACTCGTAATTACCTAGCTAGATAGACTTTAGTTATTCTTACTTCTCTAAAGCTATAACTATAGCTTTAGTTAATATTATATCTATTATAAAGCTAGTCTTATTAAAGTTATAGGTATTTTTATTCTAGATACTATACTTAGCTTTTATATTAGCTACTAGCTAGAACTAGGCTTAGATAGCTACGGGGTTTTTGTAGAGGGCTTTCTTATAGTTATACTTATAATTAAACTTTACTTAGAGCTCTAGTTAGCGCTTAATAAACGTACTAAGCTATCTTAGGCTAACTTAGGCTAGATTGCGCTTAGCGCGTAAGAAATTAGCTATATTAGCTATATCTGTAAGGCGAGAGAGAAATTCTCGCTTAACTAGGTTAAGTATATACTAAATAATTACTCTCTTCTTAGTCTTATATAAACTTATTATTATTAGCTTATAATCTACTTATAAAGGTTATTTAGCGCGTTAATAGCGTAGAGTTATATAAGAAATATTATAAGTAGCTGCAGCGCGTTATAATAAGAAAGTTACGTCTTATTTAATAGCCTAAAGCGTAGTCTATATTCTAGCTTCTTTTAGTAGTTCTATCTAGTATAGTTAATTAGGCATTATAGAGTAGAGGTAGTTTTAGTAGAGTCTTAGCACAGGTAGACCGCGAAGCATGCTAGACCGCGAAGCATGCTAGACCGCGAAGCATGCACCTACGTTAGCTATTATTCTATATAATAGAGCTATATTATTTATATAAACTTTTTTTTTTATATAAATAAGTAGCTTTGCGTAAGTACTTTAAGTAACTCTAAATGTGCTAAAGCTACACTTTTTTTTAGCGTCGCCTACGAGCTAACAGACTATTTTATGACACTTAGTGTTGCTGCGCGAACATCGCTCCCCTGGTTGGACTGAGTAGGGAGGCTTTGCGCTACCGTTGCTTCGTCATCCCCTTGAGCAGAGACGAAATCTGATTCGGTATGTTCCGAGTCATTTGACGATGAGCCTGATGAGGCTGTATTAGAGCTACCATCCGCTGGTGGAGTAACTAAGCCTGAAATCTGCTCATCGTTTTGCGCGGCTAACGGTAGCTGTGCGCACGGCTTTGAGCGTCTCTCAATATTTATCTTCTCGATACTACTCATGTGTTAGCCGGATCACCACCTAGACCAATTTTAGGCACATACTTCA